GGAGGGGGGCTGCTGTGCACTGGTTGTGGTCTACTTGCTAGGCAAGGTGTATGTGGCCAATGCAGGGGACAGCAGGTATGGGGAGGGGGCAGGGGGTCACCCTCTGGCATGGGGAAATAGAAGAGAATGAGGTGGTGGGTGTTACAAATCAAAAACCAAAGGGAGGGATGGTGTCAGGAGCAGTCACAGACATAAGGGATGGCCTGAAATAGCCACGAGGGAAGGAAAGATGGGGGTCTGGGTGAGGAACCCCAAGGGTCATTGTGGGGAAGTCCTGGTCTTTCTGGAATTCCCCACAAGGGGGCTGAGGAGAGCCCAGCCCAAACCTTTTCTTTCTCTGGGCAGAGCCATCATTGTCCGGAATGGTGAAATCATTCCAATGTCCCGGGAGTTCACCCCGGAGACTGAGCGCCAGCGTCTTCAGCTGCTTGTAAGTAGGAATTAACCTCCCTGCTCCCATTCTTTGTTGACTCTTGTGGCTCTCTGTGGCCTGTGGCCCCACCCTCACCACCCGGACCGCTCCTTACTGGCTGCTCACTGGGAAGGCCGCTCTGCTCGGCAGCAGCGATGGCTGAGCTGGTGGAGTGCGTAGCAGGAAGGAACGTGGGCTACTCCAGGGCTCCCACCGTGGCCCCCGCTGGGGAAGGAAGTGGAATCAGAGGCAGGGAAAGGAAGTAGCCAAGGGCCCTGAGAGGCAGTATGGGTTAGTGCTTTAAAGTACTGACTCCGGAGCTGGACTGCCTGGGATTGAATCCTGGTTCGAGTCCTTTGCTCATTGTTTGATGTGCAGATGGTTCCCTTAAGTTGCATCAGTAGCTCCTGCCTTAAGGGTTGTCGTGAGGTTAGGCGAGTTCATATACATTATTTGTATTAGAACAGTGCATGGCACATGGTAAAGAAACCCCATTTAAGGCCCTGCTGTAATTAACCTCTTCTATACGGCAGGGTGTGCTCCAAGCCTAATGCCCCCCTGGCCCTCTGCTCTGTCCGGCCACTCCCAACCGCAGGGCTTCCTGAAACCAGAGCTGCTAGGTGGTGAATTCACCCACCTTGAGTTCCCCCGCAGAATTCAGCCCAAGGAGCTGGGGCAGAGGATGCTGTACCGGGACCAGAACATGACCGGCTGGTAACACTTCCTTCAGAGCTGGGGCCCGTTCCCATGGCAACACAACCAGTCCCTCACCACCAGCAGCAAGGTGGAAGCTGGAGGCGGGGCCAGTCTGGGGGTTGGGGGGATGTGGTCCTTCTTAGGGGTTTGTGTGAGGGGCATGGCTCCTCAGGGAGAGGGGCTTTGATGCCTGGGTGATGCCTCCTCTACTCCCCCCTCCCCAGGGCCTACAAAAAGATCGAGCTGGAGGATCTCAGGTTTCCTCTGGTCTGTGGGGAGGGCAAAAAGGTAAACTCCACGGCAGAGGTGGGAGAGGGCAGGAGGACCCACCACAACTTGTCTAGGGAGGTGGAGGTTCTACCCCAGGGCAGCGGTGGGAGGGCCCACAGCTTCAGAGGCTGGGAGAGGGCCGTGGCAGCACCCATACCCATTCCCTTTAGGCTCGAGTGATGGCCACCATTGGGGTGACCCGGGGCTTGGGAGACCACAACCTCAAGGTCTGCAGCTCCACTCTGCCCATCAAGCCCTTCCTCTCCTGCTTCCCTGAGGTGAGCCGTATGGGGGCTTCCTCAATTATACCTTCCCTCTAGGGGCCCCGGGCTGGCTTTCTCCCAGGGTCCCTTTGTCCCCCAGCTCCTTCTCCACGCTCTTCTCCCCGCCAGGTGCGAGTGTATGACCTGACGCAGTACGAGCACTGTCCAGATGACGTGCTAGTCCTGGGAACAGATGGACTGTGGGATGTGACCAGTGACTGTGAGGTAGCTGCCACCGTGGACAGGGTGCTGTCAGCCTATGAGCCCAATGACGCCAGCAGGTAGGGCTTGTATGGCGGTGGGGGGGGTGACAGTGGGGAAGGTAGGGGCAAAGGGAAGCAATGCTGGGGGACCCACATGAGGGCCTGTGTATCGCTCTTCCCATATACATGTTGGAACATGAATGCGCATGTGTGCTTCTGGCAGGTACACAGCTCTGGCCCAAGCTCTGGTCCTGGGGGCCCGGGGCACCCCCCGGGACCGTGGCTGGCGTCTCCCCAACAACAAGCTGGGTTCCGGGGATGACATCTCGGTCTTCGTCATCCCCCTAGGGGGGCCAGGCAGTTACTCCTGAGGGGCTCAGCCCCACCCCTCCCACCACCCTCCTAGCCTCTCCATGCTTACCCTCTGCTGACCCAAACTCTGAACTTGTCTCCCTGACCTCCTTTAGTGGTAATGTAACTGAAGAAGGGGTGTCAGTTAGATCCAAAACTAATAGCTAGTGGCAAATAAACCAGCTGGATAAAAATGTGTGTCTTGGGGCGCCTGGGTGGCTCAGTCGTTAAGCGTCTGCCTTCGGCTCAGGTCATGATCCCGGGGTCCTGGGATCGAGTCCCGCATCGGGCTCCCTGCTCCGCGGGAAGCCTGCTTCTTCTCCCTCTCCCACTGCCCCCCCGCTTGTGTTCCCGCTCTCACTGTCTCTCTCTGTCAAATAAATAAATAAAATCTTTTAAAAAAAAAAAGTGTGTCTTTATTTACTTTGATTAGAAACCAAAAGGCTCTTTCAGGTGGTGGAAAGAACAGCAAAGCAGTCCTAAAAAGGTAGTGCTCCCAGTCTCCATCCTCCCCCTGTGCTCGTCCCACCCCATGTGCTCTCATCCACTTCCATGGCTTCATCTACCTGCTGGCGTTTTCCAAGTCAGTATTTCCCCCAGATCTTTCCTGAGCTTTAGGCCCACATGTCCTAGCTGTCTCCTGAACATCTAGACATCCCACGGGCATTTCAACTCAACGCACTTCAAATGGAATCCACCATTTCCCTACAAACGTGTGCCTTCTCCTGGTTCATCATGTCCATGGGTATCAGCTCATCAGCCCCAGTTAGAAATCTTAGCATTGGTCACCTTTGCTTCTGGCTCTTCCCCAGCAAGTGAATCAGTCACTATGTGCTGTTGATTATATATCACAAAATATATTTCCTATTTGTCCACCTATTCCCCACCCCTACTGTTACTACTACATTAGGCTTTTAACTCCGTCTCCAGGTCATGCCCCTGTATCCCTGAATGTAACCTTTCCACAGGGTGAATCCAAGTTGGTTATTCCCTTGAGAGAACATTTCAGTGGTTCCCTACTGCACCTAGACCAAAATCAACACTCAACTCTTGAGTGTGGCAGACAAGGACATTCATGATCTGGCCACCGTGTCCTTCCCTAGCCCTATCTTTCAGCCCCACCCCCACTCTCCTGGGGGTTCCATAACTCTTTGGGCCTATTGTGGCTCCAACCCATTTAACATCTACTCATCACCTTATCTGGAAAACTTGACTTGTCCTTCAGGGCTGGGTACCCCATAGCCCTTGCACGCCTCCAGTACAACCCCTGCCTCCTGTATATATAACTGTCTAGCTGGAGTAGCAGTTAAGGGCAGAGGCTCTAGAATCCTCCTATCCAGGGGCGCCTGGGTGGCTCAGTTGGTTAAGCAACTGCCTTCGGCTCAGGTCAAGATCCTGGAGTCCCGGGATCGAGTCCCGCATCGGGCTCCCTGCTCAGCAGGGAGTCTGCTTCTCCCTCTGACCCTCTTCCCTCTCGTGCTCTCTCTCTCATTCTCTCTCTCTCTCAAATAAATAAATAAAAATCTTTAATAAAAAAAAAGATAGAATCCTCCTATCCAGGACCTGGTGCCAAACCCACCACTAGCTCTGCAACCTCTCTCAGCCTCAAGTTGCTTCTCAGCAAAATGGAAGTAACAGTGCTACCTCACAGAGTTGTTTTAAGGACTAAAGTAGTTCATGTCCGTATGTAGAGCCAGGTGCATGCAATAAGGATTCAATAACTTGCTATCTTTAAGTTGTTTGTGTTTGAATTTGGACCGTTAAGTTCTTTGAAGACCGAAATCAATCTGCAGTGTATGTTTATTGAGTGGGTGAAGAGGCCTGGGCACCAAACTTCTCTGGACCTCAGCTTACTCATTTATCAAATGTGTGGGCTGCACTTCAGAGCTTTAAAATCTACATGACTTCTGACGTTCATTCATTCAGAGAATATTTCTGGAAAAACGTATGTGCCACACAGCATGCTAGGCAGTGGGGAGCGACAGGTGGGAGGGGGATAAAGGACAGCAGGGAGCGAGCACCAACTCTGGAGCCAGACGGGCCTGTCTGAACTCTCACTCTGTTCCATACAAATCACAAAGATGTGGGCAAGCCACTTAACTTCTCTGAGGCTCAGTTTCCTTACAGGCAAAAGGAGATGGGTATACTTAACCCCAAGATCCGTGATGAGTACTAAATGGGCTGAACTATGTAGCAAACAGGTCACAAACTAATGAAGTATTGGCAGACGTCCTCAACCTCCATCCTTATCCACCTTAACAGAAAGAGATACACGGGTAGGTAAATACCCGATGTGACGTATCAGACCGGGCCAAGGGACACTTGGCCCTAGCGGCACCGAAATAACGCACTGGGGATGGAAGTTGACTTCCCAGCTGGGCATCAGGAAAAGCCTCCAGGAGTGCCCTTTGAGGGGTACGCAGTAATTGGACTCAAGGAAATTCCAGGCCAGGGGGAAGGGAACTGTCAAGTGGAAAGCTGGCCTGGGTCTCAAGGGACCCGAAAAGTCCTCAAGGCTGGGGCGTGAGGTTGGGCAGTACTTACGCGGCAGGATTCTACTAGCTGGGGGCGGCCGTCTTCCGCAGCCCCCTCCCGCGAGGTCCCAGGGGGTGTAGGCGCGCGTGGCCGCTTGGCCACGGGAGGGCAGCAGCGGCCCTTTCCCGACCGCACCCCGAGCGCCTCACAACTTTCCCGACGCCGGTCCGCCCCTGGGGGCTGGAAGGCGGGGCAGAGGCTGAGTCCTCCAGGGTTCCCGCCCGCCGCCCACTCCCCGACCGGCCAGGGATCCCACCCTCGACCCCCAGCCAGCAGCAGGGGCAAGCGTGGTGGCCCCAGGCGGGGCTGTGGGCAGGCGGAGCCAAGGGCCGCCCCCCCCCGCCCCCCTGCCCCGGCCGGTCCCTCCCCCTGCGGGTCCCGCCCCGCCCCGCCGCGGCGCTGAAGGAGGGCGGGGCGGGGCCCCCGGGTCAGTCTCAGCCTCCGGCACTGGCCGCGCAGCTGGAGGCAGCGGAGCGGAAGGTACTCGGGGCCGGGGGCCGGGGTGGCGGGGCGTCCCGGGAACGAGTTCCCGGGAGAGCACTTTCGCCCTCCTCCGCTTGGCCGGAGCTCGGGGCGCCGGGCGGGGAGGGGGCTTCGGCCAGAGTGCGCCGGGCTGTGCTGGGGTCGGCCCGGCTGGCCCCTCCCCGGGCTGCGGCGAGGGCTGTCCCCCACCCCACTCCGGGAACTGCCCCGCGGGGCCTCTCGCCTCCTGTGTCCGAGCCTGGGTCCCTGCCCATCCCCTCCCGGCTTCCCGGAACGTTACCCGCCGGGCGAGAAGCCAGGAGGTAACTTAGGGTCTCCGCGAGGGAGCCCCAGTCCAGCCGCTCTGGCTCCCCGGCCGGGTGGCCCGATGTGGACCTGGGCCGGGGTGTGAGTCCGGGCACGAATCCGCCCGGAGGTGGGAATTCCCCCAGGCCGGACCGGTGGAATGGCGGGAACAGGGGCGTGGTGTGACCAGGGGGGGGCTGCCACTGCTGCTCCCAGAGGTCTGGACGCCTCCCTAGACGGTTCCTGGAGTGTACCTGGGGCGGGAGGTAGGGGAGATTGGGAAGGGTCTAGCTCCTTTTTATGTGTGCAAGAATCTCCTCCCCTCCAGACCCCTCCCTCCCTTGCACCCCGCAAACCTGGCTAAAGATTATCCTGGGGCTTTGGGCTGGGAGGGTCCGAGGCTGAGTCCTATGCTCACTTCTGATTTTAAAGTTGAGGTGGTATCTGATTCCTCCCCTAGCCCTCAGGGCTGGCCTGCAGTGTACAGCCCACCCCCGGGTCATCTGGAAATCTAGAGAATGCTTGAGGGGAGAGAGGGTGGGATATCTTGTCTGCCTAAAGACCCCAGGAGCCTCGGGCTCCATTCCAGCCTGTGTGTCAGGGTTCGGGTGCCCCTCTTAGGGTCAGTGGGGCAGTTCTTCTGGGTCTGCCCCTCACAGGGAGCTGTTTTTCTTGCCATGTTGGCCTTGGGCCTAGTGTCCTGGCCTGGCCTAGGCCAGCTGCTCTTCTTGCCCAATGAGAGCCTGAAGGGAAAGTCTTCTCATTGAGCTGGGGGCTCCAGGTCACTTAATGCATGTCCTTGCCCCTGAATTCTGTCCTGTGCTCCCGCCATTTGGTGCCACCTAGACTGCCCTGCTGCCCGAGGCCAGTGGCATGCTCACACCTTAGCAACTGGTACTCACCGTGGGGGTGACTGCCCTTCATCAACACTGCCCATCCCAGGCAGGGCTACCCCAGCCTATTTTCGCCCAGCTGGACCAGTGGAACTAGCTGGACCGATGGGACTAGCGGGAGTGGGTGGGGGGGAGCTGATCACCGGGGCAGAATCTCCAGGGAGTACCCCCTCTTTGAAGGGGATCTGCTGGCATGGTGAATGCCTTCTTGCCTGTCTCTCGGGATACCAGGGAGAGAGCCCCTTTTGTGGTGGGGAGAGTGTGGCCGTGTCCTCTCAACTCCTATAAATTCTCTCTGACTCATATCCATTTCCTCTCATCCCGGTTTTGTGCTTGCCTGTGTGTGTGTGTGGAGAGGAGGCAGGCCACCCAGGATCCCACCGTTGAAGAGAACTAGCTTTGGGCTTGGAGCATTCGCTTTCCTGAAAGGCAGACCAAGCCAGGGCTGTGGGGTGGTGGTGGTCTGTGGGGAGTACAAGAGTTCAGCCCAGTTTGACAGGATGTGGGACTGAGAAAAAAAGCCAGGTTTAGGGCAGAGATCAGGTTACCATCCCCTCCGCTCTTAACTACTCCCTGCCTGGTTGGTGAGGCTACTGGCCCTTGTTCAGCTCTTTTTTGGGAGCTCCTCCCAGCTCGGGCTCTAGCCCCCTCCCCCTTCCCAACAGCCCCGACGGTATATGGGCTCTGGAGCCCGCCCTCTCTTCCTCCAAGGCTGGAGGCTTGGGAACCTCAGCCGGCCGGAGGGCAGCTCCTCTCCCCAGGGAGGGAGGAAGTGAGGCTCGGCTCAGGGGCAGGGAGGCTGGGTAGGTGTGATGAACTGTGCAGATGCTTGCTCGGGTGTGTTGGGGGCCGGGGACCTATGGAAACCTCAGGAAGCTGACTCCTCGTCCTGAGTCACAGGGAGGGGTGGGCAGGGCCTTGGGGTGAGCTGGACAGAGAGGGGAGGAAGGGGCTGTTCCAGGGGGTGGGTGAAGGGGACTCCCTAGTGGATTATCCTCAGTCACTCTGCTGTGGTGGATGTGTGGTTCCCTACAGTGTGGTCATTGTCCCCTGCCTGGGGCTGAGTGACCCAGTGTTGCTGCCCGGCCCAGGAGGAAGGGGGGAGGAGGGCAGACTGCCCGAATGTGGGCTGTGGGCACTGCCGGGACTGAGCCTCCTTTGTGTGACTTGGGGCTGGCTTTGGGGACAGGGTTGGGGTGGGCCAGGGAAGCCGGTTAGCTGCTACCACTGCCCTCTGTCTGGGTTTCCCTGCCTCTACTTTTTCCCATCTCTGGGGAGATAGATAGAAAAGGCAACAGACCCCAGAGTCACACAGCCCTGCCTTGAATGCCATCCCTGCCACAACTCCGAACACACGTCGTAACCTTACTGAGCCTCACTTTCCCAGTGCGTCAGAATGGGAAGCACACCATCCACCTTTGCAGGCTTCTGGGGCCTGAGGGAGATGACTTTTGTCAAAATGCTCAGCCCGGTTTCCCTTACCCACCCATCACCTTGGGGTGCTTCTGCCAGCCTGTGGGAGAAGGACTCCTCACTTGTGACTGGGCAGGCATGACTTGTCGTGAGTGAGGGACAGTGTGTTCTTGATTGGACCCTAGGGATCATGAAACTTTAAAAGTATCAATCCTGGTAACGCATCAAGTCGGACTCGAAGCCCTGGTATATATGGCAGATTAGAGCTGGCTCTTCCGAGCATGTCCCTAATCCCCGAGCACCCCTCTAAGTGTCCAGGATCCCACAGCTGGTGGTTCCCAGGTGGGTGGTTCCTCCACCTTCCGCCTCTGTATTCTAATCTGTCCAGGGAGACCTGTCTCCATATTCTCATCTCCCCAGGGAGACAGCTCAGTTGTCTGAACAATTGGTTCTTGGCAAAAACATGCCTGAGCAAGCCCCTTTCCCTCTCTTTGCTGGAGGCCTCAGTTTCCAGGTCTTGGGGGCCCCAGAGAAATGGTTTTGGATTTACTGGCTTTTCCCAAAATCCACCCTGTCTTTTTTTTTTTGTCAGCCCCGGCCATGGCTGCGATCAGAAAGAAGCTGGTGATTGTGGGGGATGGGGCCTGTGGGAAGACCTGCCTCCTCATTGTCTTCAGCAAGGATCAGTTCCCCGAAGTCTATGTCCCCACTGTCTTTGAGAACTACATCGCAGACATAGAGGTGGACGGCAAACAGGTGAAGGCCAAGGCCCTTCCTGTCTCCCCTGGGAACCCCGCCCCGTCACCATGGACCTTGGATGTCCTTCCTCACCATACATCCACTCCCTGCTCCTCTCCCCCTGCTGGAACCAGTACAAGTTAGGAAGCGAAATTGTAGTTTTAGGAAATCTAGATACACCTCCTGGTTCTCTATGCCCTGACTCTGTAATCTGGGCCCAGTCCTTTTGCCTCTGAGCTTAAGTCCCTCCGACTGCAAAGTGGGGATAATGGTAAGGCTTCCTTCAAAGGTCTTTGTGACTTAAAATCAAATCATGGTGCTCCTAAACTACATAAAGATCCAGGACCCCTGTCTCAGGATTTCTAGAAGCTCACCTCATTTACGTTGTGTGACGGTGACTCGCGTTGTCCCTGGCACAGAGCAAGTGCTCAGGAGAGAGATGTTGAGTGAACCTAAAGGACCAGTGGTTTCAGAGGACCTCTGGGTGGCAGGGGAGGGGTGGAACTGGGGCCCTCAGGCAGCTGCTCACTGGCCCTGTGCATCAGGTGGAGCTGGCTCTGTGGGACACAGCCGGGCAGGAAGACTATGATCGCCTGCGGCCTCTCTCCTACCCGGACACTGACGTCATCCTCATGTGCTTCTCCATCGACAGCCCCGACAGCCTGGGTGAGGTGGGGGTGAGGGCGTTGGAGGAAGGGCACTGAGAAGCCCTGGGAATCAACCAACCCGAGGTAGCTGTCATCTGGGCTCATTTCAGCCACCTTCTGAGATGGGGTGCTGTCAGCCTCCTGCGCTGGGAGGACGCTGGCCCTTGGGAGGGCTTGGTGGGTGGGGGTACTGTGGCGGGGGGGGCTCTGAGCTGTGAAAGGGACTGTTGTGCCCAAGAGCCTCTAACACTGCTGTGGGGAGAGACGGGGGCCCTGGGGGTGGGGGAGGGAGCTTTCTAGCCTAAGTGGAGGCACCGACACCTGTTGGGACATATCTGTGCAGAAAACATTCCTGAGAAGTGGACCCCGGAGGTGAAGCACTTCTGCCCCAACGTGCCCATCATCCTGGTGGGGAATAAGAAGGATCTGAGGCAGGATGAACATACCAGGAGAGAGCTGGCCAAGATGAAGCAGGTGGGTGGGGTGGCCAGGCCGGGAGCCCCTGGAGGGGCTGATGACCCTTGGAGGGCCTACTCTCCAGCTGACCTCCCCTTGTGAGGTGGTGTGAGGTTTGCCTCCTCCTCCCCGGTGAGGAAGAACCCCAGAAGGGTCCTCAGTCTCAGGTCCTGATGAAATTGTCAGGAAACGGAGTGACTTGTCCAAGGTCACCTGGCATTTTAATGTCTTCATCTGTTGTCCATTCGGTTTGGGTTGGGACTATTAAGAGTACCCGTCCTCATAGACAGCTTCTGACAATAGGTGTTCTGCTCGGGGTGTGCAGGTTGAGTCATCAGGGTACACCTGGAGAGGTATGGGCATTGGAAATGGTTGGAAAGCCCATGGAGTGAGGGCCCTGGCTTACCTGGTTAAGTGGCTCTCTGGCCAGAGGACTAGAGTCTGTATGAAGTTGCCAGGATGAGGACTACAGACTATCCTGGAAGGATAATTATGGCAGAGTTTTAAGCTGGGTCACACCTGTATGTTAAGAGAAATTCCTTCGGCAGGCCTAGAGCCTGGATTGGAAACATGAGAACAGAGGTGGGGGCGGTTGGTTAGGAGGTGCTGGATACTGTTCGGGCCAGAGGAGGGTGTACCATGGGATATGGGGCCAATGGAGACAATTTTTAATGTAAACATTAGTGGCTCGGGTCCTGGCCTAGAAACTGCCCCAGGGTGGCTGGGGCTTGGGTGCTTTGTGGGGTGAGGGCTGAAGGAGATTATTTGTTCTAGTTACACTTTACAGGTAAAGTGGGGAGAGGTACACTTAGCCAGCGGCATCCTTTGACCTCTGGCCTTCTGTCTTCTCAGGAACCCGTGCGATCTGAGGAGGGCCGGGACATGGCAAACCGGATCAGTGCCTTTGGCTACCTCGAGTGCTCGGCCAAGACCAAGGAGGGGGTGAGGGAGGTATTTGAGATGGCCACTCGGGCCGGCCTCCAGGTTCGCAAGAATAAGCGCCGGAGGGGTTGTCCCATTCTCTGAGACCACCCAGGTCTCCCCTATTCCCCCCCTTCCCTTCCCAGGGGTGCAGAAGCTGCCCACCTCCTGGCCCCGCCCTCTTAGGGCTCCTCGTGGAAGCCTCCCTTTTCAGCTCCCTCCAGCCCAGGACTGCATCTGAGTTTCCCCAGCACCACCAGCCCCCAAGGTGGTGGTGGTGGTGGTAGGCCGGCCCTCCCTCCCCACACTCTGGGTACCTAGGGCAAATTGCTGCCCTTCCAGAACATAGTCCCTCCTGCTGCTGCCTCAGTCCAGGAGTCGGGCTCTCGATCCCTTAGGCCTTCCCCAGAGGATCATCACACACCAGCACTTTATATACACTTCTCGCTCACAGGAGTGTCTGGGGTAGGGGACTGGGAGGGTGTAACCCCAAGCCCCGGGTCCCTGGCATCTCTGGACAGGGACCTTGTCTCTGGCTCTACTTGGTGGGGGGCACGAATAAAGGCCACAGGCACCAACATATGTGTGGCAGCTTCCTGTCTTTCTCTCCTGGTCCCTGTCTTGGCCGTGAGCCTAGAGTCCCATCTCTCCCAAGTTGATTGCCAGGCTGGTCCCCAGTCTGCAAAGGCAGGACTCCGGGGCAGGCAGGGTGGAGTCTTGGAGCAAAGGATGAGGTCATGCCTGGCTCTGGGCCTTGGAGGCGGGTGAGGGGAGTGGTCTGGAGCAGGGGCTAAACTTAGAAGCCTGTGGGTGGCTTCCTTGCCACCTCCCACTGGGTTTCCTCCCCCTGGACCTGGGGGCTGGGTTCCTCTCTGGCCGGGAGGGGTATGGCCCTGGGCAGCGTGTGACAGTCCCACCCTCCCATCTGGGGTCCGCCTGGGAGCTCAGGAAGGCCACAAGGCCAGAGGGGGCCAAGCTGAGGAGACAAGGAGGCTTTTGCATAGAACAAGATTTTGTTTTCAGTTTTTCTTCCTCCCCCTACCCCCAATTGTTAGCAGCTTGATGTGTCATTCTCCCCAGCAGGGGAGGGGCTGGAATGGCTTGGGTTGTAAACTCCCTCCCCCAGCCTTCCTGTCCCGCGGAGGGGCAGCTCAGCTGGGCTCTGGTTCAGGGTCGGGTGGGCGGTTAAGGCTTGGCTGGTGTGAGGAGGCGAGGCGGTCTGCTGTGTCTTCAGAGCTCATTCCTCCACTCTGGCTCTACTTGCAGGGACAGGCCATCTTCTCCCTCCCGCTCCTGGGGGAGGTAGTCGTGACCTTGGGGCCCTAGAAAGAAAAGAGGTGAGCCTGTCTTCCTTACCTTCTCCCCTAGTGCTGTCCCCTACCTGGCCCAGCCATACCTGAGGTAGAGGGCCTGAGCTTGCTCAGGCCTTGGAGCAAGTTCTGTCCCTGCTGCAGGTCCAGTTTGGCAGGGAAGGGGCACCCGGTGTACCCCCCGTTTTCTTTACAGAACTCCAGGAATCTGTGGGGTACAGGGACATTCACACACATAGAGCTGCACAGGCCTGGCCGAAGAGCGCCGTTAGAGGCTGGAGGTAGGCCTTGGTCCTGCTACACCGGCCTGTGCCTCTGGGCCAGTTGCTTATCCTCTGCCAGGTAACTTAAATGGGGGTATTGTGAGGATGAACAGACGAACCCACTGAACAGACCTGCGGATTAACTGAGCCACAAGGAGGTGCTTCATCTAGCTGCACCTGCCCCAGGTTGGGGGTTGTGGCTACCCAGAGGGGTTATGGGGGTGGGAATGCTCACACTTTCCAGTCAGGGTCATGGCCCAGGAGGAGCGGGTTGCCCACCACGATGAGCAAAGCCTTGGCCCGGGTCACAGCCACGTTGAACCTCTGGAAGGAAGGAGTGCTAGGGTCATGGGAGGGAAGGACCTTAAGGAAGGAAGAATTCCTCAAACCGGCCACCAGCCCTCAAACCTTGGGGTTCTTAAGGAAACCCAGGTTAAAGTCCAGATCCAGCTGCACAAAGCTCTGGCTGCTCCGGACGGTGGAAATGAGGATGACGCTGCGCTCTTGGCCTTGGAACTCTTCCACGGAGCCCACCTGGAGGGTGAGAGACAGGGCCTGCAGCGCGGGGCTCACAGGGGAAGCAGAGGGGCGCACCCTGCCTCGGGGAGCTCGAGCTCCAAGGCCGGTGCAGGGAAGTCCCCAGGCATTTGTCGCAGTGGAGGGAGTGGGCAGGAAGAGAATGGGAAGATTGCCCTGGAAGCTGACACCTGAAGGGGGAATCCAGGTAAGGGGGGGCGGGGTGTGCGGGCTAGAAAGGGTTTTCAGCCAAGAAAACACGGTTGCAAGGACTTGGTAACTCAGAGCAGTGGTTTTCAAACTTGCAGAAAGACAATCACTAAGTACTTGTTAAAGACAAACTGGAGGCCTTTAAATCGGAGAGCAAACCCCGGCTGCACGCTAGATCACCTGAAGAGCCCTACAAAAATAGCGATGCCCTGGTTCTGGCCCCAGGTAGCTGTGCCAACCCACCGGGTGGGGCTCTGGCAGCAGACGCGCTAAAAGCTTTCCAGGTGATTCTTATCTGCAGGCAGTGGTGAGAACCACCACGTGAGAGTCCAAGGACTGAATGACTCAGAGGGTGGGAAGGGTGAGCAGGGACACTATCACATGACGGGTCAGGCAGGCTGGGAGTTCGGACTTCACCCTCAGGGCAGAGGCCTCAAAACGGCCTGGTGCATAAGAATCAAGAATCTGGTGGGGTGTTTCTTGGTCCCGGCCCGGAAGGACAAGCCGGGATCTGCAGGAGGGAGGGCTGGGGACAGCCCCACTGTGTCTCAGGCAGTGAGCGTGGGGCACCTGGGGAGGTCTCTGGAAGGGGAGGGAAGTGCGGGGAGTGTGAAACAGTGGTGAGTGTCACCTTCAAGTCTTTGATGTCATCCAGTCCCCGAAGCTCCTTGTCAAGTTTGGTGATGCAATGACGGATTTTTTCCACCTGGAAGATGGGGACAGGTGCCTTTCTCTCATTCCATTACCCCAGTGCAAAAGGGAGCCAGGCAGGTGGCCAGGGAGCTGGGGGGGCAAAGAGGCAGGGACAGCTGACCTCTGAGCTCTTCTGAGATACGGGGCCAGCAGAGGCCTGAGCTCCTGGAACCTCCACCTAGTGGTCTGGCTACGAAGGAGGTACCATCTGGAAGGGGGATGTCCCACCCTCGATGGGAACTGAGGGCCTGACCTGCTTCCGATATGGAGAGATGACACCCACGCTTCGGGGGCTCAGGCGGGCTTTGCCCTTCTTGGAGGAGGGGGCCAGGAGCAGCTTCAGGTAGGAGGTCACTGTGGCAGCCTCTTCTGGGTTGAAGAATGATGGGCTATTGCCCTCACGCTCATCCTTGCCCATTACGCCATGAAAGATGATGGGAAAGCCCTGGATAGGGGGTCAGGGGAAACCTTCAGCCAGACCTCCCGTCTCCCTTCCCTCCCACCCCCACACCCATGCAGGGAATGTGGGATCCCAGGCCAAGGTGACAAAGCCTCTGACTTCCACTCAGAGCCGCCTCCTACCTTGCACCTTCAGTAGGAGGGAAGCTGGGGTACAGGGGCGGCAGCCTGAGCCCCGGTCCTGTTTAGCCTCACCTGTCGAGGCAGACCCTCCCAGCGGCAGAAGCGCTCTCGGTCCACAACGTCAGCACAGGCCTGCAGCTCCCCTTCATAATAGAGTTGGTTAGGGATATCCAGGATGGTGGGGTGGGACCTGGGAGGCAGGAGGAGGAAGATTACTTCTGCCCCATGCTCGGGGTTCCCCCTGCTCTACCTGCTCTGGGTCCACACACATCATCCTCCTGTCGCCCACCCCCTGGACGGCTACAGTGCCCCGCTAGGCACGCAACTGCACGAGGCAGAACCCAACGGGGTTCCTGAGAGCATCTGGCCCGTGGATTTCATGGGCCAAATTTAAAAGGAAAACACAAGAAAGGGGGAACCCATCCTCAGGTTTCAATTTTGCCAAGGGAAGACAGTACAAAAACACTGATCACCTACTGTTGCCATTATCTGACGAAATAACGTGTTAACTCTAAAAGCAGAAGTAATAACAGCTAAGGCCGACTGAACTCGTAAGTGGGACTTAATCTGAGGAACTCCGAACTTAGGAATTCATCTGAGCATTTTAGGTACATGAACTCCTTGACTAAAGCAGACATACAGCTCTTTAATTTGAGTAACGATTAGGTTTATGAAAAACTGCCTTGTCCCAATTTTGCTGATTTCTCCTCGGACTGCCGGGAGACCAGACAATCCTGCAACACACAGCTAAGCAAACCGCTCTAAAGTGAAGCCACTTGCAAGGCCAGAGCCCATGTGCAGCAGTGATGGGGCTGGAGTGGAGATCCCACAACCTCGGAGCAGCAGGACCGCAGGATGGAGCCGTGGGCGGGGGGCTGCGCGGGGTGGGTGAAGGCACGGTGAGGGGGCGGGGCTACCTGTAGTTGCGCAGCAGCTTGGTTATGAACTGGGGGTTATAGCCATTGGAGCCCTTCTTGTATAGGGCGTTGTAGGTCAGCAGCCGCTCCAGCAGTGAGTACCCCAGCCCATGCTTCTGGGTCAGCGGGGAGCGCAGCACAGGCCCCAGCTGCCTAGGGTCTCCTGCCAGCACCAGCTGCCCTCCTGGATTGTCTGTTTCCTTGACTTCCATCAGCCCTGAGAGGCGGGGTGCCGTGGGGAGAAAGTTAAGCAGTGGGACCTCCTCCAACCCCATGCAGGGCGGTACACACGCAGCCCACCCTGAACCCCTCACCTGCTATGGCCACCAGACTCTCGGGCTCCATGGAGTGGCCGGCCTCATCGATGAAGATGTGTGTGAAGTGATCGATGGGAAACTGAGCTGAGACCAACCTGGGGAGTGTCAGGCCGAGCAGGGGTCATATCCAGGCACCTGACCACCAAACCTGAATGCCCACCCAGGCTGGCCCCTCACCCCACTGCCAGGCACCATTCTTCCCCAGCCCCACTACCTCCTTACTTACACACACAACTGACACACACATATACACGCACACGCACACACACTTCCCACCTGCTGGCCGTGATGAGGGTGGTAATCAAGACACGATATTCCTGCAGTTTCTTCTTGGCGGGAAACACGTAATCCCCCTTCTTTGCATCCCAGTTACAGCAGGGCTGTGGAGTGTGGAGGCGGGGGCGGCGGTGGATCAGCCAGCTCCACCCATCCTCACCCTCACTCTGGGTCTCCCAGGCAATTTTCTTCACCTCTCTC